TTTCGGTTAAGGGTATGTACCTCAGTGGCAGTTTGGTCCCCGGCCCCTGTCAGGGTCATGTGGGAGGCAACCAGTTGGTGTGTCTCTCTCACATCTATATTTCTCTCTTTTCCCCACCCCCACTCTATCTAAAGATAAATAGAAAAATAGCCTCGAGTGAAAATTTTTAAAAAAAAATTTTTTTTTTTTAAATTAGGGGTTAGACCTCAGCTATGAAGGTCCTCTCTGAGGACAGAGGGTTCCCAGCCCACACTAGACACCCCAGCTCAGGGTTCCAGTGCCAGGAAGAGAAGTCCCCACAAGTTCTGGCTCTAAAAACCAGCGGGAACTGAAGCTAAAAGAGGCTGAGTCTTCTGAAGACCTGGGTAGCTCCTCTTAAAGGGCCTGTACACGGACTTACTTGAACTCTTACCCTCCAATCTCCAGCATTGGGGAGGCAGCCAGAGACATACAGAAAATAACTGAGTTGTTTGATATTGGGGCAAGAGCTGGAGGGGCAGTTCTTCCCTGGACAGACTTGCTGTTGGAAGCCATTGTTCCTTTGGTGAGCCCCTCCTTGGGGTGGCAGAGGCTGCCATAACCTGGCTCACACTGTTTGCCCAGCTCTGGTGATTCCCTGAGGACCTGCCCAATCCAATTTTCAGACCCACTTAAGTTGTTTTCAGCAGCTTTACCACAGCATTGGCCTGTCTTGGATTCTGCTTCAAATTTTCCTAAATTATCTCAAACAACGAGTATCTGGCCCCAGTGAGCCCCATTCCTCTTGCTAAGTGGCCCCAGGCCTGGCACTAGTAGCGGCCAGCCTTGGTTCACAGCTGGGCTTTGCCCGGGCACCTCCAAGCCCAGCACAAGAAGCTGCCATATGCAGCTTTGTAGCTTATGCCTGGTGCCCCCAGGTAGAACACAGGCAGTGCCTGCCCTTGCCCCAGGGCCAGTACACCCAGTGGACAGCTTCCAACCATGTTGAAGTACCACTACCCAACTACCTCCACAAGTGACACACACTCAAGGAGTGGATTCAGTGGGTGCCAGAGCCCTGCTGAAGTAAGTCTTGTGGTGGGCCCCTGCACAGCTGATCTTTCAAGGTAGTCAGAGGTCAGTGGGCAGTGGGCACAGCCAGTCCTTACAGCTGATCAGCCTGAGTAATTCCCTCCTATTGACATGCCAACAGCGATCAAGACTCAATTACAACAGAAGGGTGTACAGTCCACACTAGGGGTTCACCTTGAGGGCCCTGCTGAGGTGATCAGGGAGGCTGTGCCACTGAACCCTACAAGATACCTACACTAATAGGCCACCCTAGGAAACCTAGGGGACATAGCAGCTCTACCTAATACATAGAAACAAACACAGGGAAGCAGCCAAAATGAGGAGACAAAGAAACATGTCCCAAATGAAAGAACTATAAGAAATGGAGATAAGCAATCAATCAGATGCAGAATTCAAAACATTGGTTATAAGTATTCTCAAGGAAATTAGTGACAACTTCAAGGAAGATAGTGAGAACTCCAAGGAACTTAGTGAAAACATCAACATAAGAGAGGACCAGTCAGAAATGATGAATTCACTAACTGAAATAATGAATAATTTACAGGGAATCAATAGTAGAGTAGGTGATGCCAAAAAGCAAACCATCAATTTGGAATATAAGAAAGCAAAAAACACCCAATCAGAACAGCAAAAAGAAAAAAAGAATTTTAAAAACATGAGGATAGTGTAAGGAGCCTCTGGGATAACTTCAAGTGTACCAACATTCGCATCTTGGGGGTGCCAGAAGGAGAAGAGAGAGAGCAAGAAATTGAAAACCTATTGGAAACAATTAATGACAGAAAACTTCCCTAACTTGGTGAAGGAAACAGACATACAAGTTCAGGAAGCACAGAGGGTTCTAAACAAGATGAACCCAAAGAAGTCCACACCAAGACACATCATCAAAATGCCAAAGGTTAAATACAAAGAGAGAATCTTAAAAGAAGCAAGAGAAAAGCAGTTTCTTAGCTACAAAGAGCTCCCATAAGACTGTCAGCTGATTTCTCAAAAGAAACTTTGCAGGTCGGGAAGAAGTGGCAAAAGATATTCAGTGATGAAAAGCAACAACCTACAACCAAGATTACACTATCCTACAAAGCTATCATTTAGAATCAATGGACATATACAGAGTTTCTCAGACAAGAAAAGACTAAAGGAGTTTATCACCACCAAACCAGTATTATATAAAATTTTCAAGGGTCACCCTGGCCAGTTTGGCTCAGTGGTTGAAGCGTCACCCCAAGAACCAAAGAGTTGTGGGTTTGACTCTTTCAAGGGCATGTACTTTGGTGGCAGTTCAATCCCAGGCCCTGGTCGGGGTTGTTTAGGAGACAATCAGTGGATGTGCCTCTCTTGCATAGATGTTTTTCTCTCTCTCTCTACCTCCCTCCCTCCCACTTTATCTGAAAATCAATGGAAAAATATCCTTGGGTGAGGATATAATAAATAATAAATAAAAACATAACTTTATATTAAAAAATGAAAATTTAGAAAACAAATGTGTATCATTTATTTTTAATAATTCTAAAATGTTCTCGTTGTAATTGTGCCACAACATCATGTAGAATTTGAATCTTCTGCATTGCCAAAAAAAAAAAAAAAAAAAAATCCCAGAGTAATTTTTAGTCTGTCTTTTTAACAAATGTATTTCAGACTATTTTCCTAAGAAATAAATAGCCCTGGCCGGTTTGGCTCAGCGGTTAGAGCGTCGGCCTGCGGTACGGAGAGACCCGGGTTCGGTTCCCGCTAAGGGCACGTACTTTGGTTGCAGTTTGTCCCCGGCCCTGGTTGGTCGTGCGGGTGGCAGCCACTCGATGTGTCCCTTTCACGTCGATGTTTCTCTCTCTCTCTCTCCCTCCCACTCTATCTGTACAAAAAATGGAAAAATGTCCTCAGGTGAGGATAAAAAAATAAAATAAAAAAATAAAAAAGAAATAAATAGACTTCTATAGTGACATTGATCTAGATGTTTGCATTATCACAAGGTGAAAACAAGATATCATGCATCTGTAGGGTAAAATAACTATTTTCAGATGTTTTCTTGGAAGAGACTGCTTTTAAGCTCTACGCCTACTGTTTCAATTTCCACTTCTTACAAAAAGTTGCCAGATGTTTCAATTAGTGTTTTATCCTACTCCACCTCCCTCTCCACCCTCCAACCTCAGCAGAATTTATTTGTGCACTCTGTTCCTGATTATGCTGATCACTAATCTTTGTGAGAGTTCCTGGCTCTTGTCAAAGGTGAAAAATTTAGTTACACACATGCCACTTGAAACCACCGCCCTAAGCCTCATCTCTTCATAGGATGTGTTGGAGGAAAACATATCACATCCTATTAAACATATCTAGTGGTACAGAAACTGACATCCCAAAGTTGTCAGATTGTTTCACATCAAGAAGGCTGGAAATCCCCCAGTGTCTCCTCACAATTTACTGGAAAATTAAGGAAAATAAAATTAAATTAAAAAGCCACATTAGTGATCTATTCAATAATTAGAAAGTGAATGGAAAGTTTTAGTAGGGGATAAGAACAAAACCTAAAGAGAAGGAGAAATAGAAGAGAATAAGGGAAACATGTGTCTAGAGACACAAAATTGAAGAAAACCTGGATATAGTCAAAAAGGAAAGGATATGTTAAGATCCAGACATCGAGTGAGGATCTCTCTGATACACAAAAATGTTAAACAGAGCACTTTAGCAATTCTCAAGGAATGCAGTATTGAAAAGTAACGCACATTTTTGGTGTGTCTGCAATGTACCAAGGACTTTGCATAGCTTCATCAGCCTTAGTACTCAGAGCCAGTTAATTAGAGAGATTTTGTTACTTCTATGTAACATTGGCTTAAGTTAATATGAATGAAAACAATACCAGATACATAATAATCACTACATACATGTTTATAATCACTAGCATTTTATAAATGGAGAAACTGAGGCCCTAGAATACTTGAGTAACATACCTAATCTCACATAGTTAGTGAATGACTTAACTGGTATAGAACCTAGTCCTGTCTGCAAGAGAATATAAGGCCTTTCACTAGATTTCAAGACACGTGTCTGCCTTAGATTTGCTGAGTTGCCTGGGAAATAAAACCCTTCTCTACGTATGTGAATTATCTCTTCTATGGACTAAAAAAAAAAAAAAAAATTATTAATATGTCACAGGGTGAATTATTGGAAGTAAAAGTATAATAAAGAAGCTAAATGTAACTGAAATTAAATATTTTCATAATTTGATTCAATCATCTCAATAATATTCTGGAACACAATAGAACAAAAGAAAAGGAGGGGATGAGATATAATTGCAACCAAATAGTATAAGGGTATCATTTAAATCATTGAATCACAGAGTGTCAGAGCTGAAGGGACCTTAAAAGGCATTTGCTTTAATCTCCTCTCATTTCACAGGTAATATGACCAAACAGCTGATGTTGATATGACTCTTCAAAGGCCTCACAACTTCACAATGCAGAACAATTATAGCAAAATACCAGGTTTGATGTGTCTGCTTGGAAACCTCCCTCCAAAGCCATGAGTTCAAAACTAACCAAAAGGTAGCCTTTATAAATCTAAATTTCCAGATGAGGTCACAGATGGTAAATAAAATAGCATTGGTTTTGGCCATCATGGAATGACAGGAAGAGGAAGGAAAAATGTTCTACTGGTACACGCAATCTCACCTTTGTATGCTATACCTAATTGGTCAAAACAACACACCGTCAACTGCAAAGCACTGTGCCAGCAAGAGAACCTTAGAAAAACAAACATCTGTGCATTTATACAGAGTTTAATTTTTCAGATGTTCTTACAGGAAGTGGAACACAAGTGATGGAAAGTGAACAGTTCACACGATTGTAAATCATGACAACATTCATCTGCCTTTCCTCTATTTTGTACATTCCTTGGAGAGGTAGCTTATCTCATGCATTTCTCAGGGGTCTGGCCAATCTTGACTCCAGGAGACAGAGTACCTGTGTTCCCACGCTCTGGACGCCGGGATATAGTAGAGACTCGGGAATGCAGGCTCACGGTTGTGTCCCAGTCATCATCCAGCATGTTCCGCGTGCTGCTGTACTTGGCCTGCATCTGGATTCCTGTAGGGGTAAGGGTAAGCTGTGGTTGGATTGCCCCAAGCTGCCGGGCTTCTGTGAGACAGTTCAGGAACCTACGCACTGAAAGGCATTCCTAACGTTCTCTCCCAGCTAGTAGCAGGGAAACCTCTGACTCAAGTTCCTGCCTGGAGAGGCCCAGCCCCTGTCCTGTAAACTTGTACTCTGAATGCCAAATTGGTCAGGCAAAAGGGAAATAGCATGTGTTTTCTGTTTGGACTGCCTCTGTCTGAACAATTACCGAAGGGGTTGAGCTTCTCAGATCTCTTTTGTTCATTTGTTTGTAGTTCCTGTTTAACTGTGTAAAGAAGGCAAGACCTTACAATCACAGAGAGGCTCCTTCAGACTCTGTAAAACACTAATCAGTCAGAGGGCTACATTACCTTCTTACGCATCATATACTCACTGAGGCACTTAGATTAAGTTTAATCTCTCTGTGCCTTTGAGAAAACCAAAGAGACTACAGAACCAGCCTTTACCTTTCTCCCAAGCTATAGCATAAAGCATCATATACATGGAATGTCAGCACAAAAGAGTCCTTTTGAGGATACCTAATTGATTCTACTCTTATTTTACAAAAAGAGAGGTTGAAGGCCAGATAGGTGAGAAATTGCTCTAAAGCCACCTTGCTTAGGGACAGAATGAGCTTTAAAATACTTTCAGGCCCTGGCTAGGTGGCTCATTTGGAGCGCCGTCCCATACACCAAAAGGTTGAGATTCAATTCTGATCAGGACTCATACTTAGGTTGTAAGTTTAATCCCTGTTTGGGGTATGTACTGGAGGCAACCAATTAATGTTTCATTGTTACCCCCCCCCTCTCTCCCTTCCTCTCTCTAAACGTATCCTGGGGTGAGGATTAATGAGAGAGAGAGAGAGAGAGAGAGAGAGAGAGAGAGAAAGAGAGAAAAGAAAGAAAAGAAATAAGAAAGAAAGGCACTTTCTGGTTGTCAATTCAATTCAATAATCTTTTGTCTTACAGTATGTGGGCTCAATTTAACATTTTATAGCACATTTGGTACATCATGATGATGATATTTTACTGGAAGTAAAGACTTTTAGAATTATTACTAACTATCTGTGACTTTAGGAAGCTAGATAACAATTCGTTCCTAAATTTCCTAAGCTGGAAAGGATATGAGAAGTTTATTTTAGATAATGTCCAAAAACTCTTTCCAAAACAGTACAATAGAATTATATTAGTCTGCTAATACTTTTCTATATTTGTATAGGGGGATAGCTTGGCTAAATCAAGCATACTAAATATAGTGCAGAAGATGCTTGGATTAGGGCCACTAACCCTTATGAGGGATGGATCAGGAAGTATATACTGTGGATTCATCATGTGTCTCAAGCTATGTATTGTTTACCAGGTTATTCTAAATAAAACAAATCTAAAGAGACCTTTCTCTTGCATAATGCCTTGTAAAAAGTAAGAAGACAAAAATTATTTGGTTATTTTCAATGAGTTTATGGCTTAGGAAAGGTTATAGAAGAGAAGGCAGTAAAAAATTTTGAAGGAAACAGTAAGTGAAGCACATTTACTGTGAGAAAGAGGAAGAAAGATGGAATATTAGAAGTCAAAACAGGTGAGGCCTGAAAAATATACACTTAGGAAGTGCTGATAATTATGATTCTAATGAAACAGCAGTTAGAACTATTTTCCAAACTTCAGTGATTCATGTGGATCCTTGACAATGTTTTTCCAAACAACCTACATTAACATTTTACTACTTGTCCTTAAATAATTTTTTTCAACAATGACAAAAATTGTTTTTGAACACCTACATTATTGCAGGTACTGTTCTCTGAGACATATCAGTATAAAATAAAACTCTCCTTTCTTTTAGAGCATACATTCTGTGGAGGAAAATAGATGCTATACAAGAAAAATAATAAGTAAATAGTAGAGTTTACTAGACTGTAATAAGAGATATAAAAATATATGGAGGATAAGGGAGATTAAGAATGTACAGGAAGGAGAGTTGCTAATTTTAAATAAATTAGTCAGCCAAATTAAGAAAGTGCTATTTTTGCAGAGAACTGAAAGAGATGTAAGGGTAGGTCCTGAAAATTTCTGGGGTAACAGTCATTCAGATAAAGGGACTAGAGAGCTCAAAAGCTCTGAGGAGGGAGTATGCCAGCTATAGCTGAGAAACAATACAGACATCAGTGTCCTACGTAGAATGAGTGAAGCGAAGAGTAGAGTAGCTTAAAGGAGTAAAGTAGACCACAGTAATTGTCTTTTAGACAATTTAAAGATCTTCTGCTTTTTATTTTGATTATTTTTCACTCTGAGATATATGGGAAATCATAGTCTTAGTAGAAGACTGACATGATTTTTTAAAAATTTAGTGGAATCACTCTGCTATGTTTGAAAATAGATATAGAAAGACAGGCAGATACTGGGATACTACTTTAAAAATTATTGCAATAACTCAGGCAAGAGAAGATAGTGTTTCTTCATTATTCATCTTGAATTTTTCTTTTAGACACAAATTCAGCTAGCAGCTCTTTTCCCTTTCTGTCTCTTGGAAAAGTGTCAATGTTTTCTGTTCATTCCTGCATGCATTTCCATGTAAGCTGATATAGTATGCCTTGGACAGCCTAGAGCAATCTTTCTTTACACCATCATTGTTGTCATAATCATGCTTTTATATTTAAGTCATAGATTATTGTTGCCTAGCCTGTCTGTTTTTGAGAAATACAGCTGGACATTCAACAACCAGAATTATTTTTCTATATAATGATTCTTTTAAATCATCCACTCCATGCTGGGGACTCAAGGGTAACCAATCAAACCAAAAACAAAATTCAAATACATGGCATCTCTTTTTAATTACATCTTGTGTCCTTTTTTAGCAATTAGTGGTGTTTTTAAAAATACATATTTTTATTGATTTAGAGAAAGAGAAGAAGGGAGAGGGAAACAAACATCTATGTGAAAGAGAAACATAAATCAGTTGCCTCCCACAGCACCCCTACTAGGGATTGAACCCAAAACTTGGGTATGTTCTCTGGCCGGGAATTGAATGGGTGACCTTTCAGTGCACAGGATGATGATGCTCAACCAACTGAGCAACACCAGTCAGGGCACCACCTTGTGTCTTCATTTAACTCTCAACCTGATTTATCTTTCCCCTTTCTTCCTTTCTTTTTAGAGAGTGACAGTACAGGTTTGTATCTTTAAAAACTACTGTAAATTCACTAAAATCTCTATCCTCTGCTCTTAGATTTTTAAATATTTGAGATTGAAAATATAACCTTCAGCACAGTACTACTCTACTAGCTCTTCCCCAGTGGCAAGTTCATCATTATTTGGGGGAGAAGGCAAAGCGTGTTAGTGATTATTACTCACAGCATAAAATGGGGGGCCAAAGTTTGTTTGATTAACATTTTTTTTTATTAAAGTGGAATGTGTATTGCACAAAACTAACCATTTTAAAGTAAAAATCCAGTGAATTTGAAACAATTTCTGTTCACATATTAGTAAACATAGGAAGGCAATAAATGCCTTTCCTACTGGAAATAAAAATAGCACCTGTGGGAAAGTTTAAAAGAAAATAAGAGACCAATCACCATATGAGAAAATATATTTATGTTCCAATAATATCTTTATATAGCAATTACTGAAGAATTGCTGAAAACTGCAAAGCAGTAATTATAAAAATAATAAAATGTTTTGCACTCAAAATGATTGCTTTTTTATATCTTTACCAGATCTTTTTTTTAATTTTTTTTATTGATGGCATTTAAAAAAAAGAAAGCAAAATTGCCATTAAGGGTTTTGGTAAAAATGGCAGGGTAGGTAAACACTGTGCTCACCTCCTCCTATGACCACTTCAAAATGAGAACTAAATTATAAGACAGTCAACCTGGAGAACCATCTAAAGACTAGCTGAACAGAAATTCTATAACTAAGGCTATAATGAAGAAGCCACTTTGAGACTAAAAGAGTTGAAGATGAAAATGGGCTGGCCCCACACTAACGTGTGTCAGTTTACGATCAGGAGGTCTATCTCAGTGCACAGGATCCCGCCTGAGGAGAGAAGGGGCCCAGCCCCATGCGGAGCTCCCCAGCCCATAACACCAGTACCAGGAAGACAATCCCACAAAACATCTGACTGTGAGAGTCAGCTGTGATTCCATCCATCCAGGGGAGACCAAAGACTGCTTGTAATCCAGGCATTCTCTTAAAGGACCCACACACAGACTCACACTCACAGGTACTCACCTTCAGTTGTGGCAGAAGGATAGCAGCTCGGAGTTACCAGAGGCACGGGGAGAGAAAATGAATTGTGAGCTTCCGTAGGGTGTGCTGGAAGGATGTCCACCATTGTCCTTGTGTTGAGCATTCCTCTAATGCAGCTGACTGATAGATACCATCTTTTCTGTGTTGAGCAATCCTCCACATGGCCAAATCTAAATCTGCATTGACTTGGTGAAATCTACTTGCTCCACTCTGATGATTCCCTGAAACTCCACCCAATCCAACCCCCAAACCATCCCAGGCTCCTTCAGAGGCCAGCAGTCAACCTTGACTCACAATGGTCTTTCTTTAAAAAACTCTCAAGGAGTTCTAGTCAAGCACAGAGGTCACCAGAGACACACAGGAAGAAACTGAGTTGTGTGGCTTTAGGGCAAGGGCCACTATTGTCCCTGTGTTGAGCCCTCCCCCCACCACATGACCAAATCTGAACTTGCATTAGCCTGATGAACTTCACTCACTCCACCCTGATGACTCCTGACACTCCAACCCACCACAAAAGTCTGTATAGGCCCCAGGCAGGTGGAGGCTGACCTCAGTGTACACTGTGACATTTAATGGGTGGCCTCAGGCTCAGAACTGGTGCCAAATCTGAATCTAGATTAACCTGGTAAACGTGACTCACCCCACCCTGCTGAGACCCTGTTTCACCTAACTTGTATACCACACTAGGATTTTTCATAGGCTGAGCCTTACAGGTAACAGGCAGGCAGCAGCAGGTTTCAGGCTACCTTGTGCCTTTTGTCTCAGTTCACAGTGTGGATTTTCCATGTGCATCCAGGTCCAGCAGAGGTGCTACCAACTGCAGGTCACTTACTGGCTCCTAACAGGTAATCCCAGGCCGGTTACAGGCAGCATCTGACTTTGGCTTGCACCAGAGACTCTCCCTAGTGGCTTCAGAACCAACATACCCAATGGCCAACTTCAGACAGCAGAGCACCACCTAATTAGTGCCTCAAATATCACATCCAAAGGATGGTCTAAGCAGGCACCAGACCCTGCAGGGGCAAATCATGCTCTGTGGGGTAAACCCTTATATAGCAGCTCATATAACATGGTCATGGCCCATACTCATAGTCAGTCAGCCCAGGGATCAATCCCACCCACTGACATGCCAACAGCAATCAAGGCTCAACTACAACAGGGGGACAAACACAACCCATACAAGGAACTCTCCTGAAGCACCCAGCTCTGGTGATCAAGGAGTTTGAACCACCGGGAAAAGCAAGACACCTACTACATAATATCACTCTGCCAAGGTCAGGAGACTTAGCAGATTCAACTAATATAGAAACAAACACAGAGAGGAAGCCAAAATGAAGAGACAAAGAAATATATCCCAAATGAAACAACAAAAGAAATCTCCAGAAAAAGAGCAAAATAAAATGGAGGCAAGCAATCTATCAGATACAAAATTTAAAACACTGGTTACAAGAATGCTTGAGGAACTTAGTAACTTCAGGAAAGAGATACTAAGCATAAAAAAGGACATAGAAACCATAAAAAGAACTAGTCAAATGAAGACTACAATAACTGAAATAAAGAATACACTAGAGCCCTGGCCGGTTTGGCTCAGCGGTTAGAGCGTCGACCTGCGGTCCTGAGAGACCCGGGTTCGGTTCCCGCTAAGGGCGCGTAGCTCGGTTGCAGTTTGTCCCCGGCCCTGGTTGGTTGTGCGGGTGGCAGCCACTCGATGTGTTCCTTTCACATCGATGTTTCTCTCTCTCTCTCTGTTCCTCTCTCTCCCTCCCACTCTACCTGAACAAAAAATGGAAAAATATCCTCGGGTGAGGATAAAAAAAAAAAAGAATACACTAGAGCCCTGGCCGGTTTGGCTCAGCAGTTAGAGCGTCGACCTGTGGTTCAGAAAGACCCAGGTTCGCTTCCCGCTGAGGGACCATACCTTGGTTGCAGTTTGTCCCCGGCCCTGGATGGGTTGTGTGGGTGGCAACCACTTGATGTGTCCCTTTCACGTCGATGTTTCTCTCTCTCTCTTCCTCCCACTCTATCTGAACAAAAAATAAAAAAATGACCTCAGGTGAGGATAAAAAAAAAAAAAAGAATACACTAGAAAAAAATCAACAGCAAATTAGATGAAGCAGGAGATTGGTTCAGTGATTTGGGAGACAAGGTAGCAGAAAACATTCAATCAGAACAGGAAAAAGAATTTTTAAAAATGTGGATAGTGTAAGAAGCCTCTGGGACAACTTCAAGCATACCAACATTTGCATCATAAGGATTACCAGAAGGAGGAGAGAGAGAGCAATGGATTGAGTAACTCTTTCAAGAAATAATAAGTAAAAACTTCCCTATCCTGGCAAAGAAAAAGAACACACAAATCCGAAAAAGCACAGAGAGTCCCAAACAAGATGAACCCAAAGAGGCCCACACCAAGACGCATCATAATTAAATGCCAAATGTTAAAGACAACTAGAAAAATTTAAGAGCAGCAAGAGAAAGACAGTTACTTATCTATAAGGTAGCTCCCATAAGACTGTCAGCTGATTTCTCAAAAGAAACCTTGCAGGCCTATAAGGATTGGCACAAAATATTCAAAATATGAAAAGCAAGTATTTATAACCAACACTACTTGTAACTGGCAAGGCTATCATTTAAAATGGAAAGAAAAATAAAGAGCTTTTCAAACCAGAGAAACCTAAAGGAGCTCATCACCACCAAACCAGTATTAGAAGAAATGTCAAAGACACTTCTTTGAAAAAAAAAAGAAGAAGAAGAATGTAAATATGAAAAATAAAATGGCAATAATTATGTACCTATCAATAGTAACTGTAAATGTAAATGGAATAAATATTACAATCGAGATATAGAGTAGCTGAATGGATTAAAAATAAGATCTAATACATTGTCTACAAAAGACCCACTTCAGATCAAAAGACACATACAGACGGAAAATAAAGGAAATGAAAAAAAAAAATGGGATAGCAACACTTATGTCAGACAAAATAGACTTCAAAGCAAAGGGTATAGTGAGAGACAAAAGGACGTTTCATATTGATAAGGGGATCAATCCAACAAGAGGACATAACCCTTGTAAACATTTATATACCCAGCATAAGAGCACTTAAATATATAGAGCAAATATTGATGAAAATAAAAAGAGAGATCTACAATAATACAGTCATAGTAGGGTACTCGAACACAATATTGACATCAATGGTTAGATCTTCCAAATAGAAACTCAACAAGAAAACTGTGGCCTTAAATGACACAGTAGATCAGATTGATTTAATTGATTCTTTTAAAGCATTTTACCTAAAGCAGCAGAATATTAATTCTTTTTAAGTGCACATGAACATTTTCCAGGATAGATCACATGTTAGGTGACAAAACAAGTCTCAATAAATTTAAAGAGATTAAAATTATATTGTGCATCTTCCTGACCACAGTGGTATGAAAATAAAAATCAATTACAAGAAAAAAATCTGAAAAACACACAAACACAAAAAAGTTAAATAACATGGTACTAAAGTATGAATGCATTAACAGTGAGATCAAGGGGGGAAAATCAAAAAATATCTTATGACAAATGAAAATGAAAACACAATAACCCAAAATCTATGAAACACAGCTAAAGCAGTCTTAGAAGGGAAATTCAGAGCAACACAAGCCAACCTTAAGAAGCAAACAAACAACTCTAATAAACAATCTAACCTTACACCTAGAGGAAATATAAAAAGAACAACAGATCAGCCCCTGTCTTTACTGCTTGAGGGTCAAATCTCAAACTTTATGTTATTCATATGATTTGAATATAAAATAACTTTGTCTTTAAGAAACAGAATTGGGAGTAAAAAAATGGTGGCAGATTGAATGAAAGCTACACTGCCCTTCTCCTAGGACCAAACTAGAATTAAAACTAAAATAAAAAATCAGCCAGGCCAGGCTGGTGTGGCTCACTGGTTGACTGTCAACCCAGGCACCAAGAGGTCGCCAGTTCTATTTCCGGTCAGGACACATGCCCAGGTTGTGGGCCCAATTCCCAGTGAGGGGCATGCAGCTGGCAGCCAATTGATGTTCTCTTTCATTGATGTTTCTATTTTTCTTTCTTTCTTTCTTTTTTCTAAAATCAACAAAGAAAAATTATTTTTAAAAAATCAGCCAGAATAACCAACTGCAGACCAGCTGGAAGGAACCCTTATAACCTTATAACTAAGGACATACAGAGGAGTCCACATCAAGTATGGTAGAAATTTCAAAGGCATGAGAGGGCTGACTGAGCTCCCATAGACAGCAGCTGAAGTTCTGGAGGAATATTTCAGCTGTGTGGGGGGGGGGAGGGGGGCTCCCCCTGGAAATTCTGGGTCTAAATGCCAAGCTGGGCACCCCAGCCCAGAGTGGCAGAACCAGGAAAGGTGTCCACATACCACTGGCTGTTGAAAGCACCAAGAGGTTCTGTCTGGCAGGGACTGATGGCTGGAAAACTGGCACCCTCTTGAAGAACCAGTGCACTAAATTTGTCTACAGCCTCTCATTTGGGCTGAGTGGACTAGAGCTGTGTGAGGAGAGTCTGGCATTCATGGCACCGGAAAGGCAACCACAAGGAGCCCTATGCCGAGTCATTCCCCCATGTTGAAGAAGCCATCTATCGCAGGCTGTTTCCCCTTCAAAGCAGCTTTAGCCTAGGGTGAAGTGATAGCCTCACCCAATGGAATTTCTCTCACTCCGCCCACTTGGTGGAGTTTATATCTAGTGAACAAAGTTAGCCTGAGGATCATTAAGTGACTGAGTCTAACAGTCAGTCTAAAGGCAGAGATGGATCTCTGGGCACTTTGAATCTTTGCCTGGCCTGCAGTCTATGGGAACCATGGCTCTGAGGACAGAGCTGGGAAGGCCACAGTCTAGACCTCTGTGCTTAGTCATTACCCTACACTGAAACAGTATCTTTTTCAGGCAGAAGTTTCCCATTCAAGAAGCTTTAGCACAGGGAAAAACAATTACCCTACACCCTAGAATTTCTCTCATCCTTCCTGTTTGGTTAGTTTACATCTAATGGAGGATGGAAAACTGAGGCTCATTAAGTGACTGACACTAACAGCCAGCCTACCGGCAGAGGCAGATTTCTGGGTGCTTTGAGTTTTGCCATCTGTAACTCTGCCCTGGGAGAGTAAAACAAGACTTTGGTGTTCAGCATGGTCTGGTCCATACTTATCCAACTTCAGCAGAAGGATCTACAAACTTTTAATCATTGATATCCACAGGGAGATATTGGCAGGTTCCAATCCCTGATGAGGTGAATTGCACTTCAGATGATAAGTAACTGTAGAGCAGACTGCTCACTATTTTAGGGGTTGAGAATCACTATCAGCCAGCCAGAGGGCCAAGCCCCCAAAAAATGGACCAATAGTGATCAAGACTCCATCACAGCAGAAGGTCCCACACAAAGCATTATTGGAGCATATGAAACATTATTAGAGCATCCAGGTCTGGTGATCAGGGAGACTGCACCATTAGGTCCCACAGGTCACCTAAAAAACAAGATCACCTTACCCAGACTGAGAGTCATAGCAGATCTACTAAATACATAGGAAGAAAGGGGGACAGGGGAAGGAAGCAGCCAACACAGTGAAACAAAAAAACAAGCCTGAAATGAAAGAATGAGAGAAATTTCTAGAGTAAGGGCTAATGAAATGGAGATAAGCAAGCTATCAGATATAGAGTTCAAAGTAATAATTATAAAGATGCTCAACAGCATTATAAAAAAATACAGAAACAATGTAAAATAACCAATCAGAAATCAAGAATGACTTAGCAGAAACAAAGAACACACTTGAAGGAATTAATAGCAGATTAGAGGAAGTTGAGAATCAGGTCAGTGAATTAAAAGACAGGATAGAAAAAGAAGTCACTCAGTCAGAGAACCAACAAGAAAAAATAATTAAAAAACAAGAGGACAGTTTAAGAGACTTGTGACATAATTTGAAGTGTAACAACATCCACATTATAGGGGTACCAGAAGAAGCAGAGAGTGAGCAAGTGATAGAGAACGTGTTTGAAGAAATAGTGGCAGAAAAATTTCCTAACTTGGGAAAGGAAAAAGGTACACGAGTTCATGAAGCACAGAGAGTCCCAAGCAAGAAGAACCCAAAGAGGGCCATACTAAGACACATCATAATTAAAATACCAAAAATTAAAGACAAAGAGATCACCTTAATGACAACAAGAGAAAAACAACAGGTCACCTATAAAGGAGCTCCCATAAGGCTGTCAGCTTATTTCTCATCAGAAACACTACAGGTCAGAAGAGAATGGCATGAAGTATTCAAGGTAATGAAAAACAGGGATCTGAAACTAAGATTACTCTATCCAGCAAGGCTATCATTCAAAATAGAAAGTGAAATAAAGAGCTTCCCTTTGGGAGGGCAGGGGAGGCTAAATGCATTTATTACCACCAAACCAGCATTGCAAAAAATGTTATAAAAACTGCTGTAATAATAAGAAGACAGACAGAGAGAGAGAGAGAGAGAGAGAGAGAGAGAGAGAGAGAAACATAGGCATAATGAATTAAAATGGCAATTAATAAGTACCTCTCAATGATAACCTTAAATGGAAGTGGATTAAATGCTTCAGTCGAAAAGCACAGTGTAGCTAACTGGGTAGGAAAACAAGAGACCCACCTCAGAATAAAAGACTCACACAGGACGAAAGTGAAGGGATGAAAAAAAATTTTCCATGCAAATGGAAATTAAAAAAAATATATATATGAGGTAGCAATCCTCATATTGGATAAAATAGACTTCAAAATAAAGGCCATGACAAGAGACAAAGAAGACCACTATATAACATTAAAAGGATCAATCCAACAAGAGGATATAACCCTGGTAAATCTATATGCAGTCAATATAGGAGCAAAAAATATATTTTAAAACTTCTGGAGGACTTTAAGTGAGAGGTCAACAGCCATACAATCATAGTATGATATCCCACTGACATCATTTGATAAATCTTCTAGACAAAAAATTAACAAAAAAATAGAGACCCTAAATGATGCACTAGATAAGTTGGATTTAGTTGATATTTGCAGAGCATTTCAGCCCTAAACTGCAGAATATGCATTCTTATCAAGTCACATGGGACATTCTCAAAGATAGACCACATGTTAGGAAAAAAACTGTCTTGACAAGCTCAACAAGATTGAAATCATATCAAGTATTTTCTCAGATCACAATGGCATAAAGCTAGAAATCAATTACAATAAAAAGATTTTAAAAAATTCAACTACATGGAAGCGAAATAGTATGTTATTAAACAATGGATGGGTTACCAATGAAATAAAAAAATAAATCAAAAACTTCCTGGAAACTAATGAAAATGAACACACCACAACACAAAAACAATGGGACACAGTGAAAGCACTCCTGAGAGGGAAGTACATAACATTACAGGCCTACATCAAGAAAAAAGAAAAATTTCTAATAAACTATTTAACCCTGCAACATAAAGAGCTACAAAGATAACAAATAAATAAACCCAGTGTATGTAAAAAGAAAGAAAGAATAAAGATTAGAGTGGAAATAAATTACATAGAAACTAAAAAAATACAAAGCACCAATGAAACCAAAATAAGAGCTGGTTCTTTGAAAAGATGAACAAGAATGATCAATCTTTAGCCAGACTCACCAAGAAACAAAGAGAGAGGACTCAAATAAATAAAATCAGAAATGAAAGAGGTGAAGTAACAAGTGGCACCACAAAAATACAAAAGATTGTAAATTATATATATAATTTGTATATATATAATTGTAAATTATATTATACATACACACACACACTATGAACAATTATATACCAACAAGCTAGACAACCTAGGCAAAATGGACAAATACCTAGAATCATACAATCATCCAAAACTCAACCAGGAAGAGTCAGAAACTTGAACAGACCGATAAAAACTAAAGAAATTGAAGCATTAATCAATAAACTCCAAGCAAACAAAAGCCCTGGGCCAGACAGCTCCACAGGGGAGTTTTACCAAACATTTACAGTAGAACTAACACCCGTTCTACTCAAACTATTCCAAAAAATTCAAGAGGAGGGAAGGCTTCAAAGCTCCTTTTATGAGGTTAATATAATCCTAATTCCAAAACCAGATAGACATTACAAAAATAAATAAATAAATTACAGACCAATATTTCCAATGAACATAGATGTCAAAATCCTCAACAAAATATTAGCAAATAAGCTCCTGCATTATTATTTAAAAAATATTCACCACATCCAAATGGGGTTCACCCCAGGGATGCAAGGGTGGTATAATATTCACAAATCAATAAATATGGTACGCAAAATAAGCAAAATTAAAGATATAAATCATATGATCATCTCAATAGATGCTGATAAACACTTGACAAAATCCAGGATTCGATGCAATTCCGATGAAAATAAAATGGTATATTTCACAGATCTAGAACAAATACTCCAAATATTTATATAAAACATTAAAAAAAATAGCCACAGCAATCTTTTAAAATAAGAACAAAGTTAGAGGAATCACAGTACCAGATATAGATTATACTACAAAGCCATTGTAATCAGAACAGCCTGGTACTGGCTTGAGAACGGGAACATAGATCAATGGAACAGAAGAGAGAACTCAGAAATTGACTTAAGACATTATGCTCAATTAATATTTGACAAAGTTGGCAAAAGCATACAATGTAGTAAAGACAGTCTCTTCAATAAATAGTGTTGGGAAAGTTGGACAGGTACATGCAAAAAATGAAACTTAACCACCAACTTAAACCATACACAAAAGTAAACTCAAAATGGATGACAGACTTAAATGTAACTAGTGAAACCATAAAATTTCTAGAAGAAAATGTAGGCAACAAAATCTCTGACATCACACATAACAGAATTTTTACTGACACATCACCTAGGACAGGAGAAACAAACAAACAAAATTAATAAATGGGACTGTATCAAACTTAAATTTTCTGCACAGCAAAAGAAACCAGCATCAAAATGAAAAGGGAACCCACTACATGGGAGAACACAGTTGCCAATGATACATTGGATAAGGGGTTAATATCCAAAATCTATAGATTACTCATACAACTCAACAAAAGAAAGACAAAACATCTGTAACAAAAATAAATGAATTAATTTTTTAAAAAAATGGTCAGAGGACATGAATAAACACTTTTCCAAACAGTACATACAAATGGCCAAGAGACATATGAAAAAAATGCTCATCATCACTAATTATCAAAAGATGAAAATTAAAATAACTATGAGGTACCACCTCACATCTACCAGAATGGCTACCATCAATAAATCAACAAACAACAAGTGCTGTTGATGATGTGGAGAAAGGGAACCCTAGTGTACTGCTGGTGGGAATGCAGACTGGTGCAGCCACTATAAAAAACAACATGGTATTTCCTCAAAAAATTAAAAGTGGAACTGCCATTCGATGAGTGATTTCACTTCTAAGAATATATCCTAAGAAGCCTGAAATGCAAATCAGAAAAAACATGTGCATCCCTTTGTTCATAGCAATGCTATTTGCAATAACTAAGATCTGGAGACAACTTAAGTGTCCATCAGTAGATGAGTGGATAAAAAAGTGGTGGTACATTTACACAATGGAATACTAAGCAGCTGTGAAACAGAAACATCTCTTACCCTTCGAGATGATATGCAGGGACCTGGGGAATATTATGCTAGGTGAAATGAGCCAGTGAGATAAAGACAAGTATCACATGATCTCACTTATTTGTAGAATCTAATGATTAAAATAAGCTGATGAACAAAATAGATGCAGAGACATGGAAGTAGGGAACAGATAGATAAACCCCAGAAGGAAGTGGTGTGGGAGGAGTGCTGGAAGAGAAAGACCAAAGAACTTATATGCACATATTCATAACCAATGGGCACATACAGTAGTTCAGTGAAGACAGGGTAGAGCAGGAGCAGGGAGGAGGGTGTCAATAGGGATAAAAAGGGATATTTGTAATACTTTCAACAATAAACATAAATTAGAAATAAAGAAACAGACAAAGAAATAAAAAGCAGGTGGAAAAAAGAACAACAAAGCCCAAAATATGTAGAATGAAGGAAATAATAAAGATCTGTGGATATAAATACAATACAGTCTAAAAAAAAAAAAAAGAAATAGAAAAGTTCAAGGCTAATTCTTCGAAAAGATAAACAGAATTTATAAATCTTTAACCATACTCATCAAGAAAATGAGATAAGATTCAAATAAATAAAATCAGCAATGAAAGAGAAGTGACGACTGATGCTTCAAAAATACAAAGGATTACAATAAAATAATATGAATAATTCTATGCCGACAAATTGTGCAACAAATTGGAAGAAACGAATACATTTCTAACAACATACAATCTTCCAACACTGAATCAAGAAGAAACACAAAATCAGAACAGATGGATTACTAGCAATAAAATATACTCAGTTATCAAAAAACTCCCAACAAATAAAAGTCTTGGACCAGATGGCTTTAGAAGGAAATTTTACCAAACATTCAAAGAAGAATTAAACCCTATCTTTCTCAAATTGTTCCAAAAAATTTAAATGAAGGGAAAGCTCCCAAGCTCATTTTTATGAAGACACTACTACCCTGATTCGAACAACAGACAAAGACATTAGAAAAAAAGAAAATCATCAGGCATTATTCCTGATGAACATAAGTGCAAAACTCCCCAACAAAATATTAGCAAACTGAATTCAGCAATACATTAAAAAGATGATACACCATTTCCAAGTAGGATTTATTCCTGAGACACAAAGTTGGTTCAATAGTTACAATAAATTGAAGTGATATATCACACAAACAAAATGAAGAATAAATATTATATTTTGTTATTCATAGATGTAGATAAAACATTTGAAACTTCCAGCATCCATTTATGATAAAAATTCTCAGCAAAGTGAGAATAGAGGGAACATACCTCAACACAATAAAGGCTATATATGACAAAGCCACAACTAACATCACACTCAAAAGAGAAAAGCTAAAAGTGGTTTTCTTAAGACCAGGAATGAAGGATTGAGAAAAAAAAAAAAAGAAAGGAGAGAGAGTGAGAGAACTCTTAAACATGGACAACAGTATGGTGATTTTGTGGGGGGATTGTAGAAGAGGGTACAGGAAGATAAATGGTGATGGGAAAAACAAAATAAAAGCTCAAGAACAGCCCTGGCCGGTTTGGCTCAGCGGTTAGAGCGTCGGCCTGCGGTCCAGAGAGACCCGGGTTCGGTTCCCACTAAGGGCACGTACCTCAGTTGCAGTTTGTCCCCGGCCCTGGTTGGTCGTGCGGGTGGCAGCCACTCGATGTGTCCCTTCACGTCGATGTTTCTCTCTCTCTCTCCCTTCCTCTCTCTCCCTCCCACTCTGTACAAAAAATGGAAAAATATCCTGGGGTGAGGATAAAAAAAAAAGAAAAGAAAAGAAAAGAAAAGAAACTAGCAGTGAATTTAACCAAGGAGGCAAAAGGACCTGTACTCAAAAAATTATAAGGCATTGAAGAAAGAAATTGAAGAAGAAACAAATAAATGGAAGCATGTGCCATGCTCATGGATAGGAAGAAATAACATCATTAACATGTTTATACTTATCTAAAGTAATCTATAGACTCAATGCCATCTCTATCAAAATACCAATGGCATTTTTTACAGAACAAGAAAAAATAATTCTAAAATTTATATGAAACCACAAAATATCCTGAATCCTCAAGGCAATCTTAGGAAAGAAAAGCAAAGTCGTAGATAATCATGCCACTTGCTAGCAAACTATACTACAAGCCTATAGCAATCGAAGCAGCATGATACTGACATTAAAACAGACACTGAGATTGATGGAACAGAGTAGAGAGCCTAGAAACATACTCATGCCTATGTTGCCAATTAATTTATGGCAAAGGATCAAAATATACAATGGTCTAAAAACAGTTTATTCAATATATTGTGTTGAGAAAATTGGACAGATACATGCAAAAAAAATTAGACTATGTTCTTACAGCACACAGAAGAATAAACTTGGGATTAAAGACTTAAATGTAAACCCCAAAACCATAAAACTTCTAGAAAGAAAAGACAGTAAGCTGTCTAACATTGCTCTTAGTAATATATTTTCTAATGTATCTCCACAGGCAAGAGAAACGAACAAACAAAAAGAATAAACAAATGGGACTACATAAAATTTTATAAGTTTGCACAACAACAGAAAACACATCAAGGAAATGATTAGACACCTATTAATAGGAAGAAGATATTTGCCAATGATATATCCAATAAGGGGTTAATATCCAAAATGTATACAACTTAACAAAAAATAAAATGGGCAGGCGAACTGAGTACACATTTTGTCAAACAGGACATAGAGTTGGTTAACAGACATATGAAAAAATCACTAACCGTCAGAGAAATGCAAATTAAAACCACCATGATATCACCTCACAACTGTCAGAATGGCTATCATCAATAGTCAACAAACAACCTGGCTGGTGTGGCTCAGTGGACTGAGCATCATCCCGTGGACTGAGAGGTCCCAGTCCCATTCCCAGTCAGGGCACATGTCCGGGTTGCAGGCTTGCTCCCCAGTAGAGGGTAAGTAAGAGGCAGCTGATTGATGTTTCTCTCTCACATCAATGTTTCTACCTCTCTTCCCCTTTCACTCTTTCTAAAATATCAATAAAAACATATTTTTTTAAAATAAATCAACAAACAAGTGTTGGCCAAGATGTGGAGAAAAGGGGACCCTTGCGCACTGTTGATGGGAATGCAACCTGGTGTGGACCCTATGGAAAACAGTATAAAGGGTCCTTAAAAAATCAAAAATACAACTACCTTATGACTGAATGATTCTATTTCTGGATATTTATCCAGAGATTCAAAACACTAATTCAAGAAGATGTATGCACTCTTATGTTCATTGCAACATTATATACAACAGCCAAGATATGGAAGCCAGCTAAGTGCCCATAAATAGATAATCGGATGAATAAGGTGGTATATATAAATTGGAATATTACTTGGCCATAAAAAATGAAGTGTTACAATTTGCAACAACATGAATGGAACTTGAAGGTATTGTGTTAAGTGAAATAAGTCAGACGGAGAAAGACAAATACCACATTATTTTATTTATATATGTAATCAAAAGAACAAAATAAACAAACATACAAAACAGAAACAGGCTCATAGATAGAGAGAACAGACTGATGATTGCCAGATGGGAGTGGGGTGGAAGGCTGGGTGAAAAAGGTGAAGGATTAATAAGTACAAATTGATAATTACAAAATAGTCCTGGAGATATGAAGTACAGCATAGGTAATATAATCGATAATATTGTAATGACTATGTATTATTCCATATGATTACTAGGATACCAGTGAGATGACTTTGTAAAGCATATACATATTTAAATACTATGGTATAAACCTGAAACTAATATAAAATAATACTGAATGTCAACTGTAACTGAAAAATTAAATTAAAGAAATGTGAGTACCCCTGGCCAGTTTTGCTCAGTGGTTAGAGCACTGGCCCATGGTCCAGAGAGACCCAGGTTTGGTTCCCCCTACAGGCACGTACCTCGGTTGCAGTTTGTCCCCAGCCCCGCTTGGGGTCGTGTGGGTGGCAGCCAGTTGATGTGTCTCTCTCACATCAATGTTTCTCTCTCTCTCTTCCTCCCTCTCTCCCTCTTGCTCTATCTGAAGATGAATGCAAAAAATGTCGTTGGGTGAGGATAAAAAAAATAATAATAACAACAACAACAAAAATGTGACTAAACAACAAAAATAGGAGACAGCTTTCTTTTGAGAGCAATTTCCCTACAAGTGCACATTATAGGAGATCTTATTAGAGATGTGGCAGACATATTTTCTGGGCTATTTACTTGAAAAAAAAAAAAAAAGTTGGAGTTCCTGCTTTTCATGGTGGTTTTTATCACAGTCATGACATAGTGACATATTGATGGACAAAATAAAAAATAGCTCTGATTATAGTGAAACAATTTTTTTAATTCAGCTATTTGTAATTACATTGCGCCTTCTACCTGTGTCTGATGATGCACTGCTAAATGTGGAGAAACAAACCGCAGAAGCACACCATGTGTATTTTAGTGTCACTATTTAAGAACAAGAACGACAGAGCCAGAAATTAAATTCTCCTTGAAACACCAAGGAGTTCTGGTTAATCCCAGGTAAATGCCAAGTCAGTTGTAGAATAAAATTTCAAGTTCTGCTGTTCTATCTCCATTAGGACATAATACTGGACTACCAATACAGTTAACATGCAGAAATGACAGTCTTTACATCTGTTTCTCAGCTAAAACTAAACTTGCCTGAGCTCTGTTGATATTTCCAGTATTTATTTTGACCTCAAGTACCTCCGATTCATGTTTTGTTTTATTCTCTCCTTACTATCTTATATACTTCTCTCTGCTCTTCCATGTCAACACCCCCATCATTATATCGACAGCTTCTTTTCACAAATACTGTATGAGGGCACATCACAAAGCTGATCATAAATTGCTGACACGTGAATCCATACACAATTTCGAGGTGAGTTTTCCTGTACACCTGTGCTTCTGATTTGAAACCTGTTAAAATAAAATATAATGAGGTAATTAGAACAAATATAAAGAATACTGTCTACTGTTTGCACAATGCTGAAATAAACTCGTGAGGATATTAATAAGAAGTTTTTTAATTGTCTACATTATTAGAACAGGAGACTTGAATTTAAATTGTATTCGTTCTCAAAGGGCAACATATCCTTCATTATTAAGGCATAAACACTACTGGAATTTTTTTTTATTGAATTTATTGGATGACAGTGGTTAATAAAACAATACAGGTTTCAAGGGTAAAACTCAATAAAATATCATCTGTGTACTGCAACACGTACTAACTTCACAAAGTCAAGTCTCTTTTCATCACCATTTATCCCTCTCTGCCCTCTTCCACCTCCCCACGCCCTTTCCCTCTGGCAATCATCATATTGTTGTCTGTGTCTGTGTTTTTGGTTTTTTGCTTAATTGCCTCACCTTTTCACCCAGCCTCCCAATCCTCCTTCCTTCTGACAGCTGTCAGTCTATTCTCTGTATCTATGAGTCTGTTTCTATATTGTTTGTTAGTTTAGTTTGTCCATTAGATTCTACATATAAATGAAATTATATGATATTTGTCTTTCTCTGACTGGCTTATTTCATTTAGCATAATACTCTCCAGGTCCATTCATGCTGTCACAAAAGGTAAGATTTCTTTCTTTTTTTTACGGCAGAGGAGTATTCTGTTGTGAAAATGTAGTATATTTTTTTTAATCTCCTCATCTACTGATATGCACTTGGGCTGCTTATGTTTTTAAGAAATACTACTAGTTGCATACAATTAAATGAAGCTTATGACAAATAAAATAATAATATTCTATAGACAGTTCCTCTTACCTAGAAATATATTTATCAAACAAAGCAACAGTTTAGTGAAATTATTATTGGATATATTAGTGAGTAGACCAAGCAGAAGAGTTATAGAACTAAATTAAGAATGAGAGATATCAGCCCAGATGGCATGGCTTAGTGGTTGACTGTAGACCCATGCACCAAGAGGTTGCCAGTTCGATTCCTGGTCAAGGCACATGCCCAGGTTGTCAGCCAAATCCCCAGTGAGGGAGCATGTAGGAGATGGCCAATCAATGTTCTCTCACATCTATGTTTCCCTCTCTCTCTCCTTCTCCTTTCCTCTCTCTCTAAAATCAATAAAGAATATGGTACATTTATACAATGGAATACTATGAAGCTATAAAAAAGAGAGATATTTTACCCTTTGAGACAACATGGAGGGACCTGGAGAGTATTATGCTAAGTGAAATAAGCCAGTCAGAGAAAGACAAGTACTACAAGATCTCACTTATTTGTGGAACATAATGAACAAAATAAACTGTCGACCAAAAGAGATCCAGAATCATGGAAGTAGGGAACAGACTGACAAACCTCAAGCGATGAGGGATAGCAGGGGTGGTAAGAAATAAACCAAAGAACTTATTAGCATATATGTACAACCAATCAACACAGACACTAGGCTGGGTAAGGCAGGAGGCGCGTGGGAGAGAGGGGAGAGAGAGGGAGGGGGGTTCAATAGGGAAAAAAGGGGGACGTCTGTCATACTTTTAACAATAAAAATAAATAAGATCAATAACAAAAAAATAAAATAAAAGAATCAGAGATATCAAAGGAATTTAAGGAAAGGGAAAGAAAAAAAATCCTGTATATTTTAATGCATCCTGAAAGCAGAATTATATTAGAATACAATGTCAAAAAACAAACAAACAAACAAAATGAGAGAGAGAGATAATACAGTGTCAAACAATTTCATTAACTAACATGGGTCAGTGGAAGCATGGTTCTGTTCTATTTGTCGTCAATCTCCTGAAGAAGCAGTGTTAATTAGTCAAATTCAAAGAACATCACTGAGCCTTGGTGTAAAAGCTATAGTCTGGTATTTTTTTTTAATCCTCACCCGAGGACATTTTTCCATTTTTTGTTCAGACATAGTGGGAGGGAGAAAGAGGAAGAGAGAGAGAGAAACATCAATGTGAAAGGGACACATTGAGTGGCTGCCACCCGCATGACCAACCAGGGCCAGGGACAAACTGCAAGCGAGGTACGTGCCCTTAGCGGGAACTGAACCCAGGTCTCTCTGGACACTCTAACCGCTGAGTCAAACTGGCCAGGCCTAGTCTGGTATTCTTTATCTTGCATATCTATCTCTTCTTGGCCCTGAGCTTGGACTATTGAGAGAATTCTTCTGTAAAAAAGAACTAGGCTAAGAGCATGAAACAATTTTGATCCAGGTCACAGGGAGAATTCTGACCAGTGTTCTCCAAAAATTTTCCTTGATATCCAAGAGTTTTTTTTAGGTGTGGACAGAAGTAAATTAAGTTATAGCCACCCAAAATACCAAGGCATAGTAACATATCACAATATTAATTTGGGACCACTCTTGTGATTTTAAAAAGAGCACATTATTTCTGATATATCTCAGCAAGTAAGGGAAACAGAAGAAAGAATAAACAAATGTGACTACATTAAACTAAAAAAGTTTTTGCAGAGCAAAGGAAACCATCAAGAAGACAAAAAGACAACCTACTAATTGGGAGAAGATATTGTCCAATGATACAATGAATAAGGGGCTATAATATATCAAATTTATAAAGAACTCATACAACTTAACAAAAAACAAACAAATAAAATGAGCAGAGGACCTGACTACACATTTCTCCAAAGACATACAGATGGCTAATAGACATATGAAAAGATGCTCAAAATCGCCCTGGCCAGTTTGGCTCAGCGGCTGAGCATCGGCCTGCGGACCAGAGTCCCAGGTTCAGTTCCTGCTAGGGGCACGTACCACAAAAAAAAAAAAAAAAGAGAAGAAAAGATCTTTGCTCAAAATCACTAACCATCAGAGAAATGAAAATTAACATCATCGTGAGATATCACCTCAGATATGTCAGAATGACTATCATCAATAATCAACAAACAAGTGTTGATGAGGATGCAGAGCAAAGGGAGTCCTCACACACTGTTGGTGGGAATGCAAATTGGTGCAGCCACTATGGAAAATATGGAGGTCCCTCAAAAATTAAAAATAGAACTACCTTATGATCCAGCAACTCTACTTCTGAGAATTTATTCAAAGAAATCCAAAACATTAATTCAAAAAATATATGCACCCCTATGTGCGTTGCAGTGTTATTTACAATAACCAAGGTATGGAAGCAACCCAAGTGCCCAGCAAGAGATGACTAGATGAAAAAGAGGTGGCATATATATCCAATGGAATATTACTGGGCCGTAAAACAGGATGAAATTTTACAGTTTGTGACAACATGGATGGACCTTAAGCATATTATGCTAAGTAAAATAAATCAGACAGAGAAAGACAAATATCATATGATTTCATTTATATCTGTAATCTAAAGAATAAAATCAAAAACAGACAAGCAAAAGAGAAACAGAGATACAGAGAACAGACTGATGGTTGCCAGATAGGAGGAGAGTTGGAGGGCTGGGTGAAAAGGTAAAAAAATTAAAAAGCACAAATTGGTAGTAAATAATATTGTAATAACTTTGTATGCTGCTGGATGGGTACTAGCATTATCAGGGATATCACTTTGTGAAGTATATAAATGTCTAATCACTCTGCTGTACACCTGAAACTAATATAAAATAATAGTAAATGTCAAAATAAAAAATAAAAGGTATTTTACTCCATGTAACAAAACAAAAAAAAATGAGTCAATCATTAGTCATATGTTAAAATAGCAAAAGAAAACAAGTGCTATGAAAATATAGATTATATACTTTGTCAAGAGTGTTTGTTAATAAATTAACTATGATTGTGCCCGTGGAAGGTGTAATAGTTCAGTGGTGCTAAAATGAAAATGTAATCATACTCAGCAGTTTGACCTAGTCCTACCCAATGGTGCCTGCCAGAAGCAAATGAAAAGCCACTCTGTGAACTTCAAGTTAATTTTACAAACATTTGAGATGTAATGTTAACACCATCAAAACTAATCAGGCATGTAAAGAAAACAAATCAACAGGAATGAAAAATAGGAAAAATATAGTAGAAACTGTCTCACACGAGTATAAGACATTGAAATTATCAACGACAAATGTTAAACAACTGTACTTTGTATTTTTGGAGTTAAAGACAATGTTGGGAATGATGAAAGAAAGCTAGGAATTATAAATAGTGATGGGATAGATTTTAAAAAGAACTAAGTTGTAATTATAGAACTGAAAAATTCACTAAACAAAATTTAAAATTTAATGGATACTTTTTTTTTTTTTTTAATCCTCACCCGAGGATATTTTTCCATTTTTTGTACAGATAGAGTGGGAGGGAGAGAGAGGAAGGGAGAGAGAGAGAGAAACATCGACGTGAAGGGACACATCGAGTGGCTGCCACCCGCACGACCAACCAGGGTCGGGGACAAACTGCAACCGAAGTACGTGCCCTTAGCGGGAACGGAACCCGGGTCTCTCCGGACCGCAGGCCGTCGCTCTAACCGCTGAGCCAAACTGGCCAGGGCTAATGGATACTTTTAACAGCAGAATAGCAACAGATGAGAAAAAACTAATAAACTGGAAGATATATGAGAAGTAAATAGTTTAAAGTAAAAAAGATAAACTATAATGCATATAACTGGGATCCCAGAAGAAAGGAAGACAGGGAGGAAGCATCATTTGGAGCAAGTATGGCTGAGTATTTTCCAAATCTGAAAAGAAACAGCAGATTTAAAACATCCGTTGCCTTCAAATAGCTAATCTTTAAAAGCAATAATAAAGTAGAATACATTATAATAAAATCGGTCTAAGAGCAAAAAAGCTACTAATGTCTAATCTTATACTCAAAGAAAATAGTTTTTAGAAAGAAAAGTTGAAATAAAACAGTTTTACACAAATAGAGAATTTAACTCTAAAATTTCAACTCTGAGGAAATACTAAAGAGTATTCTTCAAGCGTGAGGAAAACAGTGTAAAACGGAAGGTAGAAGAAGCAAAAAGGAATAAGAAGCAATGAAAACCATAAACATGTGGGAATATCTAGATAAACGGACTTCATGAATCCATACATCTAAGTCTATATGCATCTAATAATATGGCTTTAATACATCAACTAAAATGCTTGCAGAATTTGAAGTAGAATTATTGGAAGATTTTAATAGAAATCTCTCAGTATGGGAAGAAATAGATAAAAATCAAAGAACTTCAGTCACACTGAGTGTTTTCTGACCACAATGGAATTAAGCTAAAACTTAAAATGATAACTATAAATACACAGATATAAATAAATTAATAAATACATCTTGAAGTAACTCATAAGCCAAAGAACAACTCATGGTGAAAAATAGAAAGTATCTCAAATTAAATGACAATGAAAATAAATTAAAATTATAGCCTTAAATGTACATATTTGAGAAAAAGGGTGAATTACAGGAGTCAAGCATCCATACAAAAAATGTTAGAGAAAGAATAGCAAATTCAACACAAAGAAATTGGATGGAAGAAAATATTAAATATGAGAATTGAAATTAATGAAAGAAATTAATATAATAAAAAGTTAAAAGAAAAAAATTTAATTTAAAAGGAGAGACAATCAACAAAGCCAAAACTTCTTTCTTTTACAGACTAATTAAATTGGAAAACATACCCACTGAGATTAATGGGGGGGGGAGGGCAGTCACACACACACACCAATAATAGAAACTAAAAAGCAGAATATATTTCATATTCTGAAGCTATTAAGAAGAAAATGAATGGCAATTTCAGTAAGAAAGATTTCAATACTTAGTGATGGCTAATTTAATGTGTCAGCTTGACTGGCCACATACATATTCAATTAAACATCATTTCTGAGTGTCTGTAAAAGTGTTTCTGCATGAAATTAGTGTCTGAATTAGTGAACTCAGCAGAGTAATTTGCCCTCTCCAATGTGGATGGGCATCATCCAATTCCCTGAGTGCCTAAATAGAACAAAAAGGCAGAGGAAGGAAGAATCTGTCCTTTGTTTCTTGTTTCACTGTGTGAGCTAAGACATACCAGCTCAGTTCATCTTTTCTTGCCCACTACTGAGTGCTACATCACTAGCACCCCTGGTTCTCAGTTCTTTATATTTGGACTGAATTACACCACAGGCTCTCCTGCCTTTTCAGTTTTCAGAGGCAGATCATGGGATTTCCCAGTCTTCATAATCATGTGAGTCAATTCCTCATAATAAATCTTCAAATGTGAATTCTTCCTCATTGTGTGTGTATTAGGGATCTCCAGAGAAGAAGATCTGCATAGGTCTAGATAGATCTCCTATTGGTTCTGTTTCCCTGAAGAACCCTGATTAATATGTACACAATTAGAAGAATTTGTAATCATGCAAGTGTAAAATGTTTAAAAGAACTTTATAAAAAATAAAATGCAGTTGCTTTTAAAATTAATGATAATAGTGTGTATTACATGTTGACTATATGCAAGACACTATCCTAAGTGATTTTACTTTATTTCCTTTATCTCAAAATTCTAAGAGGTAGCTACTACTTTTATTCTTGTTTATAGGTGAGGAATGAGGAGCTCAGATAGGTTAAGCAATTTATCCAATTTCACGTGTGAGTGGGCCAATCATTGATTCAAACAGAGACATAACTCCAAAGCCCATGCTTTTAATCAGTTTTACACAAACCAACAGTGACTCTCCTTACTGAACAGCTTCAAACTGGTGGTAGATGCTCTCCCGGTGAAAAAAGGGAGCATTTGTGTTGATAGCACTAGATGGCAGCTCAGTTCTTTTGGATGGTCAAGTCCTCTGCTAGCCTCTTCTTTTATTTTATTTTTTTCCTGGCTCACTTTTTCTTTTTCCCCATCACTAATCATGGTTCTCTTTGTCTCTCTTACATATGGTCAACAAATCACATTCCTAACTACTTGACATGCTCTTCCCTTTCTGAGAAAGGGTGTGAGACTTTCTCTCTCTAGATACTTACAAGTTAGAAGAGAACTTTGAACCGTCTTCCCAAAGCCATGGTCCTTCAGCCGAAGGGCGAGAGAGCCCTATCCAAAATGAATTATAAGGAGTGGAAGACACTTGGTTTTCTATAAAGTCCTGCAGTGAAACAAATACAAATACATGTCAAGAAAAGAGAGAGATAAACAGAAATGATAGAGATAGAGAGACAAAGACAGAGAGGGGTTCTTACAGACACTGAGAAAGAAATAATCTTGATGATTGTCACCCTGGAAAGAATATATCTCTAGTGTCAAAATTGTACTACCTCCATTTAATCTACCTGACAACATCCAAGGACAACAGGTCTCCTAGGCACTGTTCATGGATGACTGGTCACTATCTTTTCCTCAAATTGAAAATATTAATTTATGGGAACTTTGTCAAGAAATACTTCTCAGAGTTAGATGACAACTTAAGAATAATTTAGTCTGACTGCATGTTTTGTGAATAGTAATCTGGGGATTAATGATGATATTTGAATTGTTGACAAATATAGTGCATATAGTGGCAATAACAGGAAGGTCTAAATGCCAGGCAGACTCAGTTTCTTTTTCTTTTTCCCTACATATACTTTAACTAATTGTCATGTGAACTACAACTGTTGGGTAAGACAAGACAGCAACAAAAAAATTGAGAGTAGTGAAAATTAAGGTAGGAATTATAAATTGTTTAGATTTATAGTGTAGAATGCTTCCCAATCACTAACCCTTGTTATAGCCTATCTAAGATCTAGCCTTCACTCATGATGCATTATAAGTCCCACCTTTTCTGTAAAACATTTTATGTCCACAGAGATCTATCTCTGAATGTCTATCACATTTGTTGCCAATACCAAATATTTAACTTTTAAAAAATTCTTTCCTGAGGATATGTTTTTATTGATTTTAGAGAGAGAAGAAAGGAGAGAGAGAGACAGGTGGGGGGCAGAGAACCATCCATGTGAGAGAGAAACACCCATCAGTGGCCTCCCATTCCCACTCCGTTCTGAGATCAAACCCACAACCTATGTAGATGCCCTGACAAGAAATTGAATTTGAAAATGTTTTGGTGTACAGGAGGATGTTACAACCAACTGAACCACCCAGCCAGAACACAAATATTTACCTTTTAACCGCTGTTGTTTCTTTTTTTTCTTACAAATAACATGAGCATTGCAATATCAAGTTTACTTTTCAAACCTCTTTGCCTTTTTCAGTATAAGGAGTAAGTGATTTATAAGCGTATATTATCACTACAGCTATTTTTCTTGCTGATTATGATAACATGGGAGTGAATGTTCTACCACCAAATTTAAAATTTGAAATCCAAACCCACAAAAATGAGTAGTGGCCAGATTCTTGTAGTCATGCAAACTTGCAGTGTGTTCAAAAAGATTTATTTTAAAATACAATGTGCTAACCAATGGACACAGACATTAGGTTGGGGAAAGCAGGAGAAGGGAAGGATTAGGAAGGAGGGGGTCAATGGGAAAACAAAGGGACATCTATAATACTTTCAAAAATAAAACTATATAAAATAAAATGTGCTTATTTTTTAATTAATTAAAATGAAAAGCATATATTCTAAACATTACCCACTTAATGAATACTGTTATTATAATTATGGAGAGTACTAAAAATTATTTTTCTTAGGGAAGATTATCATTATCTAGAATCTACCTGTTTTTCTACTCACTATAGATCATAGATAATTAAAACTGAAATCTACACTTACCAATTCTTTTAAACTATCTATCTTCAGGAGAGAAGAGCCCAGTTGAGAGCATCGGCTTTTACTTCTGTTCCAGGAATTCAGTGATATACTAAATAGATAACAGCTATTCTCAGATAATATCCAGTTCGGGGGACAGGGCGTGGAAAGAACCCCTGGAAATAAAAGATAAATGTGATGTGATTCGTGTCAGACCATTTCGCTCTTTCAGTGCAAACACCACCATCCTCAGGACACAATAAATAATTAAGGAATTGCCATTAAAATATTTCATTCCTAGCCCTGGCCGGTCTGCTCAGTGGTTAGAGCATCGGCCCAAGAACTAGTGAGTTGCGGGTTTGATTCCGGTGAAGGGCATGTACCTCAGTGGCGGTTCGGCCCTGGCTCTAGTCGGGGTCATGCGGGAGGCAACGAGTTGATGTGTTCTCTCTCGTCAAAGTTTCACTCTCTCTCCCTCCCTCCCACTCTATCTGAAGTTAAATAGAAAAATATCCTCAGGTGAGGATTAAAAAATATTTTTTTTTTCATTGCTAATTTAAACTATAAGAATATGACTTTACAAAAGCGGCCACACTGAAATGCCCCCATTCATTTAAAATTAAAAAGTGAATTAACTATAAAAGTGTTTTAAGGCAGTCAACCTTCCTTTCCTTCTTGTCTATCATTCCCTCAAATTCAGCCCAGAATTCCCTTTCTTCATAACTCTTAAAATAAATCAACTCGAAACAATCATTGGGGTATACAGTAATTTCATGTTAACTTATTTTACAGGTGTGAGATCCATTTCAGAAGGCAATTTTCCAAATGAGAAAAGTATAAGAAAAATTATTCACATTGCAGAGTATTTGTTTTGTATTATTAGCTACTTGAGACAAATCATGAGGAAGTATGGGTACAGAGATGGAAAACTGAAGTCAAAATGTTGCCATAGTCAATAATGATGCAATTAGAAGTACAGATCAAGTGTATATAAAATTGTAAAGAAGTCAATGAAATTGTATGATGAAAGAAAAACAAATTTAAACAGAATTTTCAGGAACATATCTATTAAGTCTATCTCTCCTACGTGTGTGTAATTTAGCCTCTTAATTCTCACCAACATTTTTCCTTCTTTCCTTTATCTCTCCCTTTTTTCCTTTCTAATATACTATTTCTTCTTACTATATCACTTTAACATTTCATTTCTCCAAGAACAAAGAATGTATTTCAAGTTACACAATCTTCTGTAGGCCTAAACACATAGATGGGGATAAATTAGTTACTGATTTGGGAAAAAATAATCCAACTTAGAACTGTTCAGTCAAGTGCATGGATGTTTACAACATAACTTTATTGTCTATATGACAGGGTCATATTAGACTGAGATAATACTAATGTGTGCTTTCCTTGAAAGTGCAATCACTGCCTATAAAAATGCTCTTTTTACCCCACCCCACCCCCTTCTAGGCCATAACACCAATAATTAACCTTCTTGAATCAAGAATTCCATTAATCATTTAAGTCTGTCCTTGCCTGTGGTTGTGAGAGCCTTTGGAGAAGTCACACTCCCTTCTAAAGATGATTGCGTGTGTTGACTGCCACTCTGTTCATTACCTGATGGAAAACTATCATTCTTCAATGGGTCATTTCTTGAATTGGTTCTCCAAATACCTTCATAGAATGACAACAACAATAGTGACAAAAAGATAATTCTATTATGTTTGAAAATTAAAATTCTAAACCCATATTTTTATTGTAATATAAAGACCAATTCAAAAGAATAGATGCATCTCATATTCACTGCAGTGTTATTTACAATAGCCAAGATATGAAAGCAACCCAAATAACCATCAATAGATAAGTGGGCAAAAATGTTGTGGTACATATATATATAATGGAATATTGCTTGGTCGTAAAAAAGAATAAAATCTTAGAGGGCATTATGCTAAGTGAAATAAGTCAGACAGAGGAAGACAAATGCCATGTGATTTCAATTATATATGTAATTTAAAGAACAAAATAAATGAACAAATAAAATAGAAACAGATATATAGATATAGAGAACAGACTGATGATTGCCAGAGGGGAACAAATAAAAAAAGTGAAGGGATCAAGAAGTAAAAAGAGATACTTTTTAAAAAAATCCTCACCTGATGATACTTTTTTTAAAAATTGATTTTAGAGAGAAAGGAAGAGAGAGAAAAAGAGAGAAATATATTTGCCTCTCGCACATGCCCTACAGGGAATCAAACCTGCAACCTGGGCATGTGTCCTGACTGGGAACTGAGCTGTGACTCTTCAGAGCATGAGACAATACTCCAAGCAATTGTGCTACACTGGCCAGGGCTAAAGATACATTTTTTATTCGTGATAAATAGATAACACATTGCTGATACATAGGTAAAGATGGACAGATGATAGATAAACAGATGACAGATTAAATAGATGGGGAAAAATAACTTCCATAAAGGTGGTATAGAAAAAAAAATGAAGCAGTTAGAGAGAAAAAAGAGATAATTAAGGAGAAAGCAGAAAGCAAATGGAATAAAGTCAGTTGGAGTCATGATAGATTTGAAATAGTAATATATCTTCTATATTTTTCATTGTATTTTTTAAATGAGAGCTCCTTGCCATGGCCAGTGTGGCTCCGTGGTTAGAGTGTCGGCCCACACACCAAAGGCTTGTTGGTTTGATTACCGGTCAAGGGCATATACCTGGATTGCAGGTTCAATCCCCCGCCCTGGTCGGGGCACATGCAGGAGGCAACCAATTGATGTGTCTCTCTTACATCAATTTCTCTCTCTCTCTCTCACTCCCTCTCTCTCTCTCTCTCTCTCTCTCTCTCTCTCTCATAATCAATGGCAAAAATATTATTGGGTGAGGAATTTTAAAAAATTAAAATAAAAGCTCCTGGAGAACCTACCCAGTACCTATAACATAGACTGTATTCAATAAACATTTGAATAATTAAAGAATCTAATAAAGACCCTCTGAAGGCAAAATAATTCTCTATTGATAATTGAATGCATGAGATATAAATCTAAAGAAATTTATTCATCCATTACAAAATACCTACTTAGTACTTAGTAAGTGCTTCAGGTAATTTCTGGTATTATCCAACAGAGTTTAGATTAGAGATGGGGTTTAAAACAGTTTTCTTAAATCATGAGACATAGTCTCTTTAGAGAATTTATTTTATTGGGAAGCTAGCACCACTTTGTACTTTCTCCTTCACCTCCACTGGTTTCCTTCCATTAATTTATCCTGGTAATTCCACAGCATTGAAACCAGCTAGCTATTCAAGGAAGGTAGTAAAGCAAGGTACTTCAGAGTACCTTTTAGACAGATTGCCTAAATTTCTAATCATCGTTCCACCACCAACTAGTTTATGATCCTTGAAAAGTAAAACAGCTTCCCAGTCTCTTACTTCCCTTATAAATAAAATGAAAATTAATAGCACCAATTCAATAGGGTTAGTATACAGATGAAATTAGATTATACATTTCAAACTTTGAAAAGAATGTATGGCACATTAGAAATATGTGTTAAATATATGTTGTTGTTAATCTTCCCCAGAAGTACTCACCCTTAGTACCCAGAACCACAGCTACCACCAGTGTTATCAAGCAAAGGATTCCCAAGAACACAGCGATGGAACGCCAAGAAGATGAACCGCAAAGGCCTGATGGAGCCAGAGGGAACAGGGATTGAATGAAGAAAAATGATGATGGATCATGGAGCACTTCAATTCTACAATTCATCCAAATCTGGCGAATTCTAAAGTGAACCATTAATCACTGATAGCAAGATAATCAAGTTATCTAGGATTAGTCTGAATTTTCCCCCACCTTTAGCACATCTCTTTGGGTTCTGGAACTCTAATTTGAGCACAGTGCTCTCATACTTATGCACTCTTAATTTCAGTTCCACGTTGATGTCTACAGGTCTCGACACTACCAGGATTCCTGAAATCCCACTCATTCTTAGAAGAAATAGCTAAGTAGGGGAAATAGCACTGATTACTAAAGATGATCTTCTCTTTTAAGGTAGGTGTTGCATGACTTTGGGCAAATTACTTTCTTTTTTATTTTTAAGTTTCTCTTTGTGAAAAATGGGGTAAAAATGCTTCAAAGAATTGTTGTGGGAATTAAACAGTCAAACACATGGAAAAGCACCTCGTTTAGAGATCACTAGCAGATTATAGGAAACTACCTGTTTATGTACATATCCTCATAAACACACACACCTCCCTACCTCTTACGTCATCCAGTTTTTCCACTCTTCAACAGGTTGCCCAAGAAAAGAATTGTGCAAGTGGAGAGAGCAAAGTAATTGTGCAATGTGAGCCACCAGAAAGAAGAAGAGAGTAAATTCTGAAGTCGAAACCTGTGAATAATCTCTCTCTTGATAACAGGGAATACATTTTATGTTAAGAACACCACACCAAAAAACAGTTTTGTCTTTGAGAATAAGCAGGAGAGCATTTCAGAGAGTTGTCAGATAAGAAAATTATAGAGGAGACTCATTCTAGGAAGTGATTTTTTTTTAAGAGAGAGAGGAAGAAATATCCATGTGAGAGAGAAACATTGATTGGCTGCCTTCTGAACACCCCCAACCAGGGATTGAGCCTGAAACCTAAGCATATGCCCTGACTGGGAATCAAACCAAGACCTCAGTCAAAGGGATGTCGCTCAATCCACTGAGCCACACCAGCCAGGCAAGAGAGACCTTTTAACACTCTTTTCCACATTTCACTTCTTTTATATTTTGTGTAAGACTCATGTCTTATTAATAGGACTTTTTCATCTCACACATACAGTTTTCTTCACTGATATACAAAGAATTCCCTTTCTTAAAGAAACACAATACAGATACACACACACACACACACACACACACACACACACAAAATCAGATTCAGGATTCTAAATTCTGTAACTTCCAACTTTCCTTTGGCCTCTACCACAAAATCACAAGTTTGTTTTTATCCCTCACCTATCTTCCATCTTTTCAGTCTTCTCTTTCTTATCTCTAGTATCCTGATGTGGTTTATGTAAGCTCTTTTTTCAGTTTCCTTGACGTTTGCTCTACAATTTACTTCCATCAAATAAACAAGCCACTCCTGTTGGAATTCTTTCATCTTTGTAGCGCGTTATACTTATTACCATCTCCTCACTGCTGTCCTATTTCTGTAGAAAAAATACTGTGACTATTTTCTGTCATCATCATGACTACTTTAAATACTAATAATTAGACACTGAATGGTTGCCAGGAGAAAAGGCTTAGTGCACATTCAAGTGATCTTCAATGACTTCTGAAAACTTAAAAATATATAATAATAATAATAAAACTCCTACAATCACAAATTTCTCCAATTTTTTCCATTTAAGTGTTTTAGTTGATGAGAATGAAAATGTTGAAGGCAGAAAGAAAAAAAAATACCTTTCTCTAAGGATGCAGTTCTCCTGGTAGGGACTCGAGAGTTGAATTGTAGTTGAGTATATCCATCTTCATCCAAATTGTCCAGCTCAGAGTGGTTTGTCATTGTTCTGTTGAGTCCTTCAATTGGCACAGCGTTTGAGAGCTCTTCTCTCTCTTCTAAGACAAGTGCCTGTGGACAAAAGAGGACCCTATGAGTCAAGTCACCAAGCTCTTCTCTCTCTTCTAAGACAAGTGCCTGTGGACAAAAGAGGATCCTATGAGTCAAGTCACCAAGCTCTTCTCTCTCTTCTAAGACAAGTGCCTCTGGACAAAAGAGGATCCTATGAGTCAAGCCACATGAGATATGCATTGATTGAACCTTAACAAGTTGAGCTTAAGTAAGTAGTCCAACCAGTTTTCCAAAAGCAGGAAATAAAAACTATGATGTAAGTTCCTACGTGTATCTTTAGATCTTGTTTCTGAAACTCAAGATTCTTAAGAAAATTATAAGGCAGCACAATAGATAGGGCTCTATTTTAGATTTTAAAAAAATAAGAAACATAAAAAGATAAGCATTTTATACTGCCTTCGTTATTCTCACAAATAAGTTTGACATCATTAATTGACTTGGCCTATGTAAGCTATTAAGCAATTTGGGTACCTTAATTTTATCATTATTTTGTTTACTATAGATTCATTCACTGATTCATGTACTTGCTCATTCACTAAACATATATTGAGTACCAATCTTTTCAAATGACAGGAACTGGGGACACAAGGACAAATGAAGAAACTCAGCTCATAGAGGAAACCTACAGCTAAGTATATGAAGGATGTCATAAAAAGGTACATTGTTGTAACAACACAGAGACCAAACAAAGTTTTTTTGTCATTTGTCAGGGATTAATAATGCAATCGTAATTATGTTTTGAGCAATTACTATGAGCTAGGGACTACTCAGTGAGCATGTTTTCTCATTCAATCTTAATTTTCCAACAAGTCCATGTGATAGGTATTATTTTCCCTATTTTTAACTGGAAAAGATAAGACAGACATTCTAGTCCCTTGCTCAGTTTTAAGACACTAATAAAAATATTGAAGCAAGGAATCAAATGAACATCTACTCTTGATGCAAAACTTATTATCTTGTCTATTTTGCTGCTCTGCCTCGTTCATCATCTTGTGCATTTATATTGCTAGTGTCATTATGGAAAGCTCCGGACTGAAATATTATGCTAAATGTTTGATTGTTTTTCTCTATTCCAAATGCCATAGTCATGCCTCCCCCCCAAAAAAATGCTTACAATTGCTAGAAACTAGAGAGGTACCCAACCCATGTACAAGACTTTGAAGCAAGCAGAATGAAGAAGGCATGTAACATTGAATCCATGAGGACAGATTTCCTTCAGTAATACTGTTACAGTAGAGAAGAGGACCCAGCTTCAGATAGATTTCATTAACTCAACTTCCCCAAATCAAAAGACCAGAGATTTTTTAAAGGCTGGGGTGTGCTAAGGAAAAGTCACTGAGTGGCATTAAGGAGGGTTAATCCATGTGACTAGGCCATTTGGATTTGTTAATTATACTTATCCTGAAGGGAAACAAACTTCTCCTGTCCTGATGACAGGAGGCAGTGGTGCTTGTTGAGGATGAAGGGTGCTTCCACTGAAGTTACAGACCCTTATTCTCCCTTCCATGGGGACTGGAAGAACAAGAGTTATCTCCCTAATCCCCTGAATGTTTGCATTCAAAGAGATGTCTCTAAGGTCCTTGAAGAAAGTTTTGGATGGTAGATTTACATCTCAAAGGGCAGAGAAATAATTTATAGTTCTAAGTTTCTAAATAACTGTTCTAAGGGGATGCAGGGGCCTATCTGGTCTATTGCTTGGTTTTGACTGAAATAAATAGTAAATTCTCCTGGAAGCACTCAACTTTCTTAGGCAAGTATTTTTAGGGAATCTGGAGTCATTGTTGTGCCACCACTGTTGAGGTTCTTGGGTTCCCCAAGATAGAAATTTAGAGAAAACCCTAGGTAACTTTCCAGACAGATTTTATTAAGCTTATGCTCAAGCACAAGGGAGACAGCACAAGAAATGAGAAACAGCCCTGGCCAGTTTGGCTCAGCGGTTGGAGCATTGGCCTGTGGATCAGAGAGTCCTGGGTTCGGTTCCCACTAGGGACATATACACGAAAAAAAAAGAAGAAGAAGAAGAAGAAATGAGAAACGGAATGTTCTCTAAACTGGCTTGGGGACTGGCTGCTAATATAACCTGGAGACAAAGTAGTTTTGTGTGCAATGGTGGGCTTTTTGAAAAGGCGGACACGTAAAAGGTTCAGGAGTGGAATTTTCCATGCCAGGGTGGAGTTACTTCCTTCCTCTGTAGGGTAGCTTAGAAATTATCTTCCTGTGCTGTGGGGGGCAAGATAGCACTGTTGCTCATTACCGCCACCCCAGGAAGGCCATGTAGCCCTCAAACCTTGATCCACGGCACATGTGGGTGAGTAGTTAAGGAGGCAGTTAGAAGAAAGATAAAATCAGCTTTGTGTGTTTTAGTAGGGAGTGGAGGGGTGGTGACATTTTTAAGGTCAGTTTATCCCAACTTCCGTCTGACCACCTAGTCTTAACTTGGCTTCCTGGCCACCCGGTATTTTCCATCCCTGGCCCAAGTCCTATGCTGTCTCAGTTGAGGCATGACCTTAAATAGCTAGATGCCATGCTAGAGCTTGTCATCCAGTCTCTTAGAGCAGAGGTTTGGATGAAGCTGTTATATGCCAAGAGTTCTGCAGTTCTCACTAACATATATCAAAATGGAAGGCAGTGCAATGGATATCAAAGGAGTGAGTTTCTTTCCCTAACCCAGCCTGCAAGAAAAGTTTTACTAACTTTAATTCAGGCATTAGTTACAGTGCTATTGGCCAAGTGTTTAATGTTAATGGATCAACAATATACATTAATTAAGGTGGCTTTAAATAGGAATACATATAAAACAAATTTGTATATTAATCTGTTGACAAAAAATGTGACCAGATGCTCATGGGAACCTAACCTTATATTTTCCCCAGAAGCAACAGTTTATTCAGTGATCTTTGTGACTTCATAGAACTTAACTACCATGAATGACAAGAATTGACTGTGTAGATAAATAGATAAACAGATAGTTTTCAAACTTAACAGTAACCACAATAAATGTTTAAAGCTTGGGCCAACAAAAAAATATTTTCAGGGAATAATATTATTTAGTATTGCTGGCAAATGGTAATAATAAAAAGCAGACTGACTTTCAGTACATTTTATTATCATTCCATTTCTCTACAGACAATTCACCACCACTTTATTTCCTGCTGAACACTCCTTGGGATATTGTCTCTTCCTTATAAGGATCCAAATAATCTAGTGCCTGACTACCTTTCTAACTTCTTTTTCTAACCATCGTCCCTTCACTGTCATGAAACACTGGCTTTCTTCTTTTTTTTAAATATGTTTTTATTGATTTTTTATAGAGAGGGAAAGGGAGAGAGAGAGAGAGAAACACTGATGTGAGAAACACAGATCAACTGTCTCCTGCACACCCTCTACTGGGGATTGAGCCTGCAACCTGGGCATGTGCCTTGGCCAGAAATCAAACCGGGATCTCTCAGTCCAGGGGAGGACGCTCAATTCACTGAGCCACACCAGCTGGCTCTGGCCTTCTTTTTTATCACAGGAACACACCAATTTGTTCTTGTCTCAGGGACTTTGTTACACTTTGGCTGAAATGCTTTGCCTTGAGCACTTTGCATGGTGGAATTTTTCTAGATAATTAGTTTTCAATTTACATATATCACCCTGTCTGACAGGTCTTCCTTAATTACTCAGTCTGAAGCAGAATATAACCACGGTGCTTGCCCATCAGTCTGAATCATATCATATAGTTTTTTTTTTTTCTTCAAAGCACTTTACAATATTTAAATATATCACATCGGTTTATGATTAGACTCACCTGTACACATTTGTAAGCTCCATGAATTAAGAATCTTACTTGCTTTGGTCACTGATAGTTTCCAAGAACCTAAACTAGTTTCCAATTCATTGTAGGTTATCAATAAATATATGTTGAGTTGATGTATAAAATAATGTGTATAAGTAAATGAAAATACTTTGAAGTTAATAATATATGTACAAAATGTATACAAGTACCTCCATATATTATAGCCTAAAATTACTGAGTTCCATTGTCTGATTTAGTTTACAAACTCCAAAAATACAAACATTCTATTTCTATTGGTATTCTGTGTCCAAAGTCTAACACATTGCCACAATAGTCCTGTCTACCAGGGATAATGGACCAGAAAACAATTATACTTCTTAGGAACTAAAAAATAAACTGTAGGTAATTTTAGTCCCAAATTTCTAGACCCAAATCACAACTGAGTCTTTCTTTTTCTTTCTTTCTTTCTTTCTTTCTTTCTTTCTTTCTTTCTTTCTTTCTTTCTTTCTTTCTTTCTTTCTTTCTTCTTTCTTCTTTATCTCTCTCTCTCCCTCCCTCCCTCCCTCCCCCTCCTTCCTTCCTTCCTTCCTTCCTTCCTTCCTTCCTTCCTTCCTTCCTTCCTTCCTCCCTTCCTCCCTTCCTTCCTTCTCTCTCTCTCCCTCCTTCCCTCCCTTTCCTTCCTTCCTTCCTTCCTTCCTTCCTTCCTTCCTTCCTTCCTTCCTTCCTTCTCTCTCTCTCTCTCTCCCTCCCTCCCTTTCCTTCCTTCCTTCCTTCCTTCCATTTTTTTTTACATTTATTTTGTGTTAGTTTCAGGTGTTATTGTAATAATTAGCTAGTTGTTAATATTAATAATAGGAAGAGAACAAATGGGAGGCCAGACATTATAGTCATGGTCATCTAGGCAGCTTCACCAGGAAGCTACAGCTTCACACTCCCCGGGGAACCAGTGGGCCATTCTCTGCAGATCACTGAGGGAAGGGATTGAACAAAGGGGGAGATGGGCATATTCAGAGTGAAGACTGGATGAGGTAGGGAAGGTGCTTACCTGTCTGTCTAATTTGAGAAAAAGATAATAGGCTGAGGAGGGAGGGGTGTGAAGCCACTGCACGAAAGCAAAATTTTGAAGGATTAGTTGATTAAGCTCCTGGTTATAATCCCCAGACAGAGTTGTCTCTCTTGCCAGCTCTGTGCTTCTTGTTCTGCTCTTGCTCTGTGACCTGCACTGACCCATGTGCTCACCTGCTCTCTCTCCATAGCCATGTGGCCTTAGGCAGCCACATGACCCAGGGCCATGTGGACTCCACATGCAGGATGCTGGACTGGACTGTGCTTTAATACGGAGCAAAGACTTTGGGCAGTGTCCTTAATCCTTGCCCTCCTGAGGACAAG